TTCGCAGGCCAGGGCCTCCGCGAGGGCCGTTGGGCCACAAGGGGGCGGCAACCACCGCCGGGCCCTTCTGGCAGCGGCCAGCGACGAGGCGGGCCTCCGGAACTTGGCGGTGCAAAGGGGTCCAGGCTCGAGCATCGAAGGATCGGGGATCGACGTTTTCGAACGTCGTCCCCGATCCTCCCTTTTTGGGTCTTAGCCTTGAACAGAGCACTGCCAGCCTCCGTCCGCCCCCCGCCATCTCCCCCGCCCGCCCCTCCTCACCCCACCCTGTCTGCAGCTTGCCTCCCAGATGCTGCCTCCTCCTCCACCTCCTCCTCTTCCTTGCCTCCTATCTCCTAGATGTGTGCCTCCATCGCGCCCTCCCTGGGTGGTGCCAGCTGCGCGACTGTCGCCACCTTCGTGGAGCTCCAGGGGTGTCCTGCGGGGGCCCCGTACCAGTCGGGTCAGCAGGATGACTCCCCGCCCTGGCCGCTGCGAGCTGCGCAACGCTTGGCATGGTTGTGGGCTCCTGGGCGATGCGCTGCAGTGAGGTCTTACAGTCAAGACGCTGAAATAAGGAACTGTTTGGGTTCGGAAGGGGCTCGATGTTCGCCAGGTTCCTCCATTGCTGTCCCTCTCGCCCACCTCGGGCACGGAGGCGCTTTTAGGGCCAAAAAGGGGCTTCGTTCCTTATTTTGGGTTCCTTCTTTCAGCGGCCCGACTGTACGTCCTCTGCTGGCGCAGACACTTCCTCCCTTCCCTGGGCGCTGCCAGCCGCACGCTCGCCGCCGCTCTCGTGCGCTCGTGGGAGGCGCAGGCGCGCACGGTATGCTTCACCTGCCCAGGCGCGGCCACAGGCGCATTTGTCTGCACTCCGTGAGCTCCTGGGGGGTTTAGAGGAGGGCGGCCCCGTGCATCGAAGGAGGGAGAAGTCAAGGAGGACATCGACAGGAAGAAGTCAAGGAGGACATCGGGAGGAAGGAAGAGGAAGAACGATAGAAAAAGCTCGGGAGCCTTACAACATGGAGACGGCCTGTGCATACCCAAATTGCGCAACCTTGGGGGCGTGCAACACCGCGTGTTCCAAGATCCAGAGCGCAAGTGGCCGCACGAGTAAGTCGGAGGTGAGGGGGTGAGATCGAAGTTGACCGGAGAGCCCCCCTACCGGGAAGTCGGGTTCGGTTTCGTGTTCGTGCGTGCCGTGCGTGCGGGCGAGGCGAAGCTGCGTGGGCGGGCGAGAAGAAAGTCTCCTCCGGCTGAGGCGCGGCCGGACCCAATGATTCCTTTTCGGGGGCCGGTGGCCCGCGGTGTCCCGCCGGTGCCACGCCTCCGGCTGAGGCGCGGCCGGACCAAGTGATTCCTTTCCGGGGGCCGGTGGCCCGCGGTGTCCCGCCAGTGTCCCGCCGGTGTCCCGTCGGTGTCATGATGATGATGATGATGATGATGATGATGATGATGATGACGATGATTATTATGATGATGATGTAGACGATGTTGATGATGATTATGGTGGTGATGGTGGTGGTGATGATGATGGTGTCCCGATGATGATGATGATGATGATGATGATGATGATGATGATGATGATGATGATGATGATGATGATGATGATGTTGACGATGTTGATGATGATGATAATGATGATAATGATGATGATGTTGGTGATGGTGGTGATGATGGTGTCCCGATGATGATGATGATGATGATGATGATGTTGATGATGATGTTGCTGATGATGATGGTGCCCCGATGATGATGAAGATGATGGTGTTGATGATGTTGATGATCCAGATGATAATGAGATGATGATGAGATGACGATAGTGATGATGATGATGATGATGATGATTGTGTCCCGATGATGATGATGAGGCTGATGATGATGCTGTTGATGATGATGGTGCCCCGATGATGATGATGATGATGATGTTGATGATGATGATGACGATGATGGTGTCCCGATGATGTTGCTGATGATGATGAGGATGATGATGAGGTGATGATGATGATTTTGATGATGTTGGCCCGATGCTGGTGATGATAATGATGCTGATGTTGATGATGATGATGGTGTCCTGATCCTGATGATGATGATGATGATGATGGTGATGATGATGGTCATGGTGACGATGATGATGGTGTCCCGATGGTGATGGTGATGTTGACGATGCTGATGTTGCTGATGATGCTGGTTTCCCGATGATGATGCTGATGTTGATGATCTTGTTCATGATGATGATGCGGTGATGATGATGATGATGATGATGATGATGATGATGATGATGGTTGTGTTCCGATGATGATGATGATAATAATGGTGCCCCGATGGTGATGATATTGATGATGATGGTGACGATGATGGTGTCCCGATGATGATGTTGATGTTGATGATGATGGTTACGAGGTGATGATGTTGGTGTTCCGATAGTGATGGTGATGATGATGATGATGATGATGATGATGATGATGATGATGATGATGATTATGATTATGATTATGATGATGATGCTGATGATGATGATGATGTTGATGATGATGATGATGACGTTAATGACGATTATGTTGATGATGATGATGACGTTGATCGTGAGATCGATTGTTATATCGATAGTAAGATCGATAGTGAGACCAAATGTGAGATCGATTGTGAGATCAATAGTGAGATCGATAGTGAGGTCGATTGTGAGATCGATAGTCTGATCGATTGTGAGATCGATCGAATGAAATAGATCGAGTGATATTGATTGTGATATCGATCGAGTGAGATCGATCGAGCGAGACCGATAGTGAGATCGATAGTGAGATCGATAGTCAGACCGGTCGAGTGAGACGTTGGTTCCTCCCCCCCCCGAACCTCCTTCTCACCCGAAGGGTGGTCGTATAGGTAGTCGCCCTTTTTGGCCGGGCCCGCGGATGCCGCCACGCGTTGCAGATGGGCTGGGCACGCCCCTCTGCGCTCTGATGTCAAGGGCTCCCACGAGGGCGCGAAGTGATTCGCGCTTCGCGGTCCTCGTTCCTTCTCCCCCTCCTCCTCGTCCTCCTTTTCTCCCTTTGGGGGGGCGGCGCGAGAGCGCGAAGTTAATTCGCGCTCTCGCGCAGCGCGAGAGCGCGAAGCTGGGAGCCCTTGGATGTTCTCTGGGCCTCCAGGCCGGGGCTTCCGTGAGAGCAGGGACCTCTGCGGACCTCCGAGGGGCCTCTGGAGACCCTCGGAGCCACCAGATTCGGGCGCTGCGCTGTCCCTTTCCTTCGCATCGGTGGCCAGAGTTTCGGCCACGTTCGCCGGACAGATGTTCCCACGCTGTGTTGGTTCCGTTTGTGCGGAGCTGGCTCTTGCACTCGGTTTCATTCGGGGTGCGCTTCTGGTATAGCCCTCTTGAGGGGCAGCGGATTCCTCCTCTTTCTCTGCCTTCTTGCCGTGGAAAAAAAAGATTCGGGCGCTGCGCTGCGCAAAGGGAGGCGATGAGAGGGGGGGGGGGCGAAGAGAGGGACACTTTCTGTCGCCCCTCCGATTCATCGCCCCCCCCTGTCAGCAACGCCCGAAGCTCCCGCTGCCACGAAAAGATCGAGGTTGCATTTTTGCTCGTCCCTCTTGGGACCTCTGCTCAGAGGCCAGTCCCAGACCCAGAGGCCATCGAGAAGCGGCCTGGAACGCAGAGCCCGCCCCGTGGTCGGTGGTCAATGCAAACGGGGTCCGTCAGAGCGCCGGATCTTGCAGGATCCTGCAGGGCCAGGGACCAGGGGTGCACTCTAGGCCTTCTGGATGGGGTCGGAGGACCGCGCCGCATCGCCGATGCATGGGCGATGCGGCTCGATGTGGAGCCCGATTTTCCTTCACGCCGATGGCGCCGACGCAGCGCCGGCGTCGCTGATGCATCGCCGATGCATCGGTGATGTATCGCCAATGCATCTGCGATGCATCAGCGATTCTCTGACCTCATCTACTCCGACCCCATCTGGGAGGCCTCTCCGGATCCTGCAAGATCTTGCAGGGTCCTGCAGGGCCCAGCCGACACGGGTCTGAATCGACCCGGGTCAGTGCGTCCCCGACGCGGAGGGGATCGTGAGGCCCCCAGCCGGGGGCCACGTCACGAGACGTCGCCGGGCCGTTTTCACCCTGCGCGGCCTGAATTCGGCGTTTGTGTCGCGCGATATGGCAGGTTGCGCGCCGCGGTCGCCGAAGTCGTGTAATCACCACTTGCGAGCCCCCGCCCCTGCGGGTTTTCCATGGGCGCTCAGGTGTCGGGCACCCCCGCTGAGGACTCCTCCTCCTCCTCCTCCTCCTACCTCCTCCTCCGCGTCCTCCTCCTCCGCCTCCTCGTCCTCCTCGTCCTCCTCCTATTCCTCCTCCTCCTCCTCCTCCTCCTCCTCCTCCTCCTCCTCCTTCCGTAGCCATTTTGGCTCAAGCCATTTTGGCTCAAGTCCGTCCCCTCCGTGGGATCTCGGACTTGGGCCGAAATGGGTTCCACAGCTGTTTCGCCCAAGGCCCCCTGGCCGTGCGCAGCGCCGCCCGCGTCCGACGGCGTCCATCCATATCTATGCAATGGCTGGGGCTGCTGAGCCTCCTGCCGCTGCTGTGCGCAGTCGCCATGCCGCACACGCGATCCCTGACGGCCTCGTACATCCGCACCTGCCGAGCGCTGCAGCGTGGTCGCGCTCGCCCTCGCGGAGCTGCGTGCCGCCACGTCCTTCGTCTTCATATTCTCGTCCCTGGCGCCGCGGTGACACGCTCGGCTGCTGGCGATCCCGTCCACGCCGATCTAGCACGCCAACGTCACATGCCGAACAAGCTCATCCCGCTCTACCCGCTGGGCGTCTGTGGCAGCCACGAGCTCCAGGAGGTTGCGAACTTCATCCAGCGGCGTCGTGTGCATGCTGGGCTCCATGATGGTGCTGGTCCTCCGCGCGATGCGGTGCCTGTACAAGCTGTCCTACGACACGGAGCTGGCCTTCTTCCTCCGCCTGCACGTCAAGCTCACCGCGCTGCTGTCCCCGATGCCGATGGTGTAGCTGACGCTCTACTGCATGACCTCCGCCACGTTCCTGGAGCCGCCCTTGGCCGTGTTCCCCGTGGCGATGCCGCGCCTGAAGCGCTTCGCAATGGTGCTGGACCGCTCCCCCAACAAGTTCTTCTTCATGGAGCTGGGCCTCTTCCTCGGTGTGGCGCTGGCGCTCCTGAGCCTGCTCTGCATGCCACTGCCGCCGGTGCTGTCCGTTCTCGAGACGCTGGTGATGTTCCCGATGCTCGTCAGCCCTTCGTGCATGCCGCTGCCGCTGGTGACGTTCATATTCGTGATGTGCCTGCTCCGCGTGCCGCTGCAGCTGGTGGCGCCCGACTTCGTGCTGCTGGCGATGCCCTCACTGCTCTCCGTCCCCTTGTCCGCGAATGGCATCGAGCCGCACGGCGCAAGACGCTACTCCTGAACAGGCCCCTCATCCGCTGCTTCGACGCGTGGCTCGACCTTGTGTTCGAAGCCTCCCTGGATTCGGAGTGCGACCAGACCGTAGAGGACACCGCTGCACATGATGATGCTGCCGATGGTGGCGAACCAGTCCACGACGAAGCCGCCGAGTGTGGCGAACAACCTGTTCTCGCTATTCATCCTGCCCATCGTCCTGCCGATGCTGCCGTTGGGGGTGTACCAGGGCACGATTACGCTGCCGCTGGTGCTGAACGACCTGGTCTCGCTGCGCTTCCTGGCCCTCGTCCTGTCGATTCTGATGCTGCCATGCGTGGCGACCGACCCCCACATGCTGAACATGATGGTGCTGCCAAAGGTGGCGCTCAAGTGCACGATGCCGCTCACGATGCCCATGTTGCAGCCGCTGTCCTTCCCGATGGTGCCCAGCATGACTGGCCAGCTCCTGGCATGCCGTTCCTTCGCCGCTCGGACCTTCTGCAACTACATGTCTGCAGTACGACTCTCGCTTGCCGTGTCGATGAACTGGCGCGCCGAGCTGCTGAGGCCCCTCGTGATAGCGGGCCCGTCGGTGTGGCAAGCCCTGTGCCTCATGTCCTACTCACCCCAACCCGCTCTTCCTCGTCTGTGCATCTTCCCCCCATCCCAGCGTTTCCCACGTTCACGAATCGTAATTTACATATTTCCGCTCCCCGTGTATGGCCCCATGCTGGCGGCCAGAGCGTCGAGCGTACAGTTCGCATCTTGAGATAGACGTAGCGGCGAGAGACAGGCGTGGGATCACTTGCCCTCTTCTCGCGTCTTGTCCGCTTGCCCTCGTCTCTTCTCTTCATGGTACGTTCACTCCTCCTCCTCCTCCTCCTCCTCCTCCTCCTCCCCCTGCTCCTGCTCCTCCACCTCCTGATCCTCGTCCTCGTCCTCCACCTCCGCGTGGATGTTAAACATCCTCTCCGTCCTCCTCATCCTCCTTGTCCCGACCTGGCTACAGGCATCCTTCGAATTCTGGACCCCGGCCGTTTCCTTCAGGAGTCTGCCCTGCATGGGAAAGGGTTCACACGTGGCTTGCTTGCGAGCGAGCGTGCCCTCGTTCGGGCCCAGGCTGGCTTTTCGGGCTGCGCGATGCAGCACAACGGGCACACCAAGGCAGAAATCGGCCTGTCAGCGGGTGCCCACGATGGTCCCCTGTTTCCGGGTGCATCCGGCAGAGCCCTGGTGCACCCTGCGCAGCGTAGAGTCGACGAAGGGTTATGCCCCCAAGTCTCTAATAGCTGGCGGGATCTCTTGTCGTGTGTGCCTGCCGTGTCGGCCCGAATGGGACAGCGCGAGGAAGTGGAGGCCACCAGCCCATGCAGTCCGTGAGCCTCATGCCGTACGCGCCGCCCGAGTCCGCCCTGAGACACGGGGCCCGCCGCCGCCGCCCCCTGCGGACGCCCACGGCAGCAGCGGCGACAGCGATCACGACGACGGCGACGACGACGGCGGCGACGAGCGCGACGGCAGCGGCTGCGACGACGGGTGCGGCCTGCTCGCTTCTCTGAGCCAGGGCGGGCTCGAATCGGATCCTGCGCCCCCCTTTCGAGCCAAGCAGGGCGTCCAGCCCCTGGAGCCCCCTGCAGCCGCCAGGGGGCGGGGGGACCTCGTTGCCTCACGGTGGCGATGGAACCGCCAGCGGCGCTGCTCTGGATAAGACCGCCCGCAGCCTTGGCCTTAAGTAGAGGACACGATGGAGGAGACGGGTGACAAGAGTCGGGCAGGACGAGGAGGAGGAGAACGAGGAGGAGGAGGTGGTGGAGGGTGAGGAGGTGGTGGACGAGGAGACGGTGGAGACGGAGGAAAAGGCTTTGGGAGGAGGAGGAGGAGGAGGAGGAGGAGGAGGAGGAGGACGATAAGGAGGAAGAGGAAGAGGCCGAGGAGGAGGACGAGGAGGACGAGGAGAGGGAGGAGGAGGTGGAGGAGGGCGAGGAGGAGGAGACGTATTTTGGAGTGGAGGAGGAGGAGTCGGAGGAGGAGGAGGAGGAGGAGCAGGAGGAGGAGGAGGAGGAGGAGGAGGGGGAGGAGGAGTAGGAGACGTAGGATAAGTATTTTGGAGTGGGAGAAGGAGGAGGAGGAGGAGAAGGAGGAGGAGAAGCTTCCGCCCCCCCGCAGATGTCAACGTCGCGTTCGCTGCCCTCGCTGTCCGCCAGCGCCGGGGCGTCGACGAGGTAGCCCGGCCCGAGGCGCGGCCGCCGCTTTTGTGCGCCAGCCGCCGACGGCCATCGGTGGCCGTCCTCCTGAACAGTGGTGTCTTCCCGGTGCGGGCCCACTCTGCTGGTCAGGTTCCGGTGCGGGCCCGCAGGAGTCCCCCGCAGCACTGCGGTCAGGAACTCTGTGCATACAGCCAACACGGGTAGTGAGGATGAGCGATTCTCAAAGGGTACCCTTGCGTCCTTCCCCTTCGGCCCATCCTGGGCCACCCTCGCGGGCCGCACCCCGCTCGAAAAGTGACAGCATGGCCTTCCAAGGCACTTGCATCCCTATCGTGCATCCTCATTGAACGCGTTGACTGTAGCGTGTCGCTCAGCTGGTTCTGGCCCACCGCGCTTCGGCGCGACACGCTATTACTGCCTAGTCCCCCAGCGTCAACGTTCCGTGCTTTTCCCAGCCTCTCGCTCCGCAGAACGGAGTGACATGCTGTCCGCTCGCACGGCATATCGTGTCGCCACGGCTGCCGCCGCGACGCGCCAAGCAATTGTTCCCGACCGTGGCGTGGACTTGTTTTGGATCGAGTCTCAGGCGAAAATATAAAGAGGCTAAGCGTTTCGCCCCCTAGGGGCTCTTCAGGTCAAATCGCCTACGGTGCAGCATCGAACGAGCATCGTCGACGATGGGACCGAAGGCGGAATGGAGAGATCCAGTGCGTAGTAGGGGGTTCGGGTTCGAAAATTAGCGTGGCGAAGGACCAAATCACATGCAGCTGCGATAAGGAAGGGGGCTAGCAAAAGGACTGAGGCGCGCTTGAGAACGACTGAGCGATGTTGCTGATGGGGTCGCAGGGGTCAGCTGCAACCGGTTACGTCTGGATGTAACACGTCACGGCTGGTATGAGCCTTTGTCGGTCCGGCCCTGGGCAGCAGCAGGGCGCGGTCTGGGAAACAGCAGGCGGCGGGGCCTTGCGTGGAGCTCCTGTGGGGCCACGCAACGTGCGAGGGGTGTGCCGAAATGGGCGCAGTCACGCATGCGATTCCTGCCAATGGGGCGTTTGGTGGAGCTCCCTACGGGGCCACGAATCGTGTGAGGGGTGTGCCGGAATGGGGCGCGGTCACGCATGCGATTCCCACCACGGGGGCCTTCGGCGGAGCGCCCTACGGGGCCACGAAGCGTGTGAGGGGTGTGCCGACGTGGGCACGGTTACGCATGCGATTCCTGCCAATGGGGCCGCACTGTACCGTGATTCAAGATCGCCCAATTTTTGGCACGCTGGCGCAGCGTGGATCGGAGATGCCCCGTTAGGCGCGCGGCGCCAGGTACAGCATGACGGGAGTGGAGCTGTGCCAGCAGGGGGCGGGCAACCTCGGGTTTGTATCCCCAGTTAAATGTTTATAAGGCTTAACGGGACGGCGGTTCGAAACTAGTGAACCGCGTGGAGTCTCCTTCCCAAAAAGATTCGAACCAGGATCGGAAGTCGGTTCGAAACAATAGAAGTCGGTTGGAAACAATAGAAAAGTGAGCGCTTCGCGTGGGATTTCCTCGGAAACCAGGTTCGAACCAGGTTCGAACCCGGTTCGAAACAATAAAAAAGTGAGCGTTTCATGCGGGACCTCTTCGAACGGCAGGTTCGAACATGGTTCGAGCTCGGTTCAAAGCGATGGCAAAGTGAGCGTTTTGTGCGGGACTTCCTCGACAAGCACGTTCGAACCAGGTTCGAGCTCGGTTCGAAACGATTGAAAAGTGAGCGTTTCGTGCGGGACTCCCTCGAAAAGCAGTTTCGAACCAGGATCGAACTCGGTGTGTTGCTGTATTAAAGTAGGTGATGCGTGTGTGCTGTTGCTCCCGTTGAGAACACAACCTGGCGTCCACACAGGATGGTCTCATGTTCGTCTGCATCCTGCGACATTCCATTGCATATTGGCCAAGCGCGCCGCAGTGGCAAACTTGGGGCCAAATTATCATCACGCCCATGTAGGTGCAGCTCCGTTTGAGGCCACGTGTGAGGAGTGTGACAAAATCGGGCGCGGTGACGCATGCGATTCCTATCGCTGGGGCCCTCGGCGGAGCGCCATGCGTGGCCACGATGCGTGTGAGGGGTGTGCCGAAGTGGTTTAGGAAAGGCATGCGAACGCAGCCACTGGGGCCTTAGGCGGAGTTCCGCATTGGGCCACGAATCGTGTGAGGTCTGTGCCGACATGGGCACGGCCAGGCACGCAGATGCCGCTCCCTATGGGACCACGTGTGAGAGGTGTGCCGAGATGGGGGCGGTCACGCATACGATTCCTGCCATTGGGACTTTAGGTGGAGGTCCCTATCGGGCCACCAAACTTGTGAGGGGTGCGTCGAAATGGTCTGCAGAAGACATGCGAAAGCAGCCACTGGGGCCTGAGGTGGAGCTTCCGATGGGGCTACGGAACATGTGAGGGCTGTGCCGAAGTGTGGTGGGGAGTGCATTCGGGTGCAGCAGCATGGGCCTCACGTGGAGCTCCTTGTGGGGCCAGGAAACGTTTGAGTGGTGTGCCAAAGTGAAGTGGCGGCGGCATGCGGGCGTGACCACCGGGGCCTTAGGTGGAGCTCCCTGCGGGGCCACAAAACGTATAAGGGGTGCGCCCAAAGTGGGGTGGCCGCGGCATGCGGGCGCAACCACTCAGACCTTAGGTGGAGTTCCCTCTGGGGCCACGAAGCGTGTGAGGGATGCCCCAAAGTGGAGTGGCGGCGGCATGCGGGCGCAACCACTGGGGCCTCGGGTGGAGCTCCGACTGGGACTCTGAAGCTAGCGCGTGAGGGATGTGCCACAGTGGGGTGGCGGCGACATGC